GTGGCAACTGCGGAGAGACTGGTCATAATACGCGCACCTGTAATATTATAGAGGAAGTATCTGAGGAAGAAATTTCTGAAAAGTGTTTTTTAATTAGAGGCGTTGTGGTAGAGTTCTTACAATTTCCATCGCGAGTGTAGAAAATTTTGGCCGGTTCGCTTGTTTGGCCGGTTCGCTATACATGCACGTTATATAAAGAGGAAAGTAATATAATTTATTTAAATCTATAAAATAAATAGGGACTAAAATAAGTAATAAAGTAAATAAAATAACTAACGTTATAAAATAATACTATAATAATAACTTATTATCCTTATTATCTTATATACTAACTATAATACTTACTGTACCTTCTACCTTCTTCTCTAGCTCTTTTCGAATATCATCTAAGTAATTTTCTATAATAATATATTTAGCTAGATTAATAGAAAACCTATTTATAAAAGTTTTATTCTTAGATAAAATAAATATTATTTACTAGATTTAAAGCTCCTAGTAATTAGCGATAATTACTAAGAACTTAGTAGTAAGGTAGGCTTTTATTATAAAGAGATAAATTAATATTCAAAGACTCGAATCTATAATCTAATTAGTTTCCTAGATAGTAATTTAAGCTTAACATATAACAGTAGAATTAACGCTCTCTTTTAGTATAGTTTCTTAAGCGCTAAAAGTAATAGTAATCTATTTAAGGGTAGATCTAATATTTATAAGCGATTACTAGCTTTTAGTATACTTTTTATATATTTTATAATCTTATAATATTTAATTAGCTAGGTAACTAAGCTCTTAAGAGAGTTATTATCCTTATTCTTAGTCTTTTATTATTCTTATTATCGCTAGCTAGCTAGGTTTATATAAGCTCCTCTATATATACTAGGGCCTAGAATCTTATTGGGTTGAAAGGGTATTGGGTACTGAAGGTCATGGAGAATTGATTGCCTTGTAAAAGGTAGCTATCTAAGGTGTTTATATAAAGAGTGTAAGGTTTAGGCAGACATGAAGCATTTAGGCAGCAGAGCTATAAGTGGATCAAATAAGGAAGTGGAGCAAAAGAGAAAGTAGACCCAGCACAACAAATCTCTATTACTACTATTATCTTTATTACTACTAGGTAAATAAATATACTCGCTTATTATAAAGTAACCCTCATATATCTCTAGTATATTATCGAACTAGAGAAAAGAAGTTATTCTTTATAGATAAGCCTTAGGTATTTCCTATAGTAGAGTTAGAAAAGTAAAGCTAAAATAGTAGGTACTTATATTTAAATAAGCTTCCTAGACCTAATCCTCGGTAGTATAAATCTGTTGTGCTGGGTCTACTTTCTCTTTTGCTCCACTTCCTGATTTGATCCACTTATAGCTCTGCTGCCTAAATGCTTCATGTCTGCCTAAACCTTACACTCTTTATATAAACACCTTAGATAGCTACCTTTTACAAGGCAATCAATTCTCCATGACCTTCAGTACCCAATACCCTTTCAGCCCAATAAAATCTTATTATTTTTATTTTATCTAAATCCTATACTATTTCTAATACTAAGTATAACTTATACTTAATAAGCGAATAGAGTTTTCGTAGGTTTTAACTAATCTAGAGTATATTACTAAATTAAGTAAAGTCTACTAATTTAAGCTAAATATACTTTTATTAGAACGAAATAATTCCTAGAGGTAAATATTTAAATAAGAAACTACTTTATACTCTAATAAATATACTAAATATTAGAATAAATATACTATTTAGCCTTAGAATATATAAGAATTAGATCTTTACAGTAAAATATATTTTTATTATAATAAAGGTTATTTTCTACTAATTAGAGAATTAATATTTTATTAAATTATTTTTTTAGTTTTAGATTCTTAGACTAACTACTAAAGTAGTTAGTTATAATAAAGTAAATACTTAATTAACCCGAATACTAAAACCTAGAATAATTAATATCTTAATAACTAATAGTTAGAAACACTTAATTCCTACTTAGAAGTACTTAATTAATTAAAAATCAGTATAAGTTATTTATAATAGAATAATAAATCTAATCGTTAGTTATATTAATATAATCTCTTTAGTAGTATATTTATAGGAATTAGACCCCTATACTCGATAGATACCCTTCTACCCGTGTACTAACCCCCCCCTAGTAACTTAGCTAAGTAGACTTATAGGATCTAGACTTTGATCTTATATAATAATAACTATAAATAATAGTTTATATAAGGTATTATTTATATTTAACTAGTTAATTAGATTATTTATATATAAAAATTATCTAAAACGAGTACGTGGTTAATTTATAATAGGTTTAAACCCCTAGGTTTTAGTATTCGGGTTAATTAAGTATTCGGGTTACTACGACTAACTACTTTAGTAGTTAGTTAAAGTTCCTAAATAAAAAAGATTAATTCGAAAAAAATTAATTATCTGATTAGATAAGTATAAGTTTCACTACAAGGATTTACATATCTCACTTAGAAAGAATTAATTAATATATACTCCGAGGCCAACTAGTACGGGCCCATGTATGGTAATTAGAAGTCTCGAGGAAGCGAAGTAGAGTAGGCAGATAAGCGAACCCCAAGCTGCGATTTGAATATCGAAAAATCTGAAAATCTGATACATTCGATTTCCTGACCGAATTAAAAGGTATCATTCAATTTTTGGTCTTGGTAATAGCTGTATCCTTGGTCCATTCAAGTATCCAGTACAGTATGGTGCAGGAGATAGGTACGAGTATTCGTAAGTATCAGAGTTGAAGTTATTTCCGACCCCTCCACGCACGTGCCTCAGGAAGTGCGGGGCAGGTGCCCGCGGAGTGGGGGTGCTGGTACTCGAGTACAGCTTTCGTCACTGCAAGGGGACCCGAAGCAACGCAACACAAGCAAACACAAACATCCAACACCACACCACACCACACCAGATATCAATACCTTGAAATACAATCGCACTCCGCGGCCCTGTCGATACTCCGTATAACTGCCGCTACCTCGCCATCACATATCACATTCCACATTTCGCATAGCTATAGCTATAACTATAGCTCCCTTGACTGCAAACACCATGGATGGGAATGATATACCAGTAACCGGATCAGACGATCTCGAGAGACACCTTCGACAGTTGATCGCCTTTCCAGATACTCCTCTCAATGCAAGGTTGTTCGATGAAGTCGAGTTGCAGCTCACGGGTAGGTGATTGATACAAGGACAACAATCACAGTATCAAGCTTTCTAACGCCCCTCGCCCTCAGAGAGCAATACTCCGCGTCTGATACCTCGACTCTTGCCACCGCTATCCGAAATACTTCTCACCTACGATAAAGACCCAACAATTCTCGCAAGTCTTGCCGTCAAACTCCTCCGCCCAATCCGCTTTACCGAAGCTCTCACCCTCGCATCCGAAGATGCTCTCATCCAGGCCTTACAATCACCCGCACCTGCTGCAAATATCCTCGCTCTAGAGATCATCGGCAAGGCAAGAAGGAGTCCTGCTGATACAGCCATTTTGTCTATAATGAAGGGTGTGGTCGAAAACGTGGTAAGGACATGTCTTAGCACGCCTCATGTTGAGGTGGGCGAGAAGGCAACACAGATGTTGGGTGACCTACTCGAGGTAGACTGCGATAGGAGGTCGTCAGCTGGCATCGACACGAAGATGAAAGGACTGCAACTAGCAGGAGGAATGCCACCTGGACAGGGGCTGTTATGGCGACGGATATTTCATGACCAGCAGGTATATGAGTTGCTCCTTGAACTTTGTAGCTCGCGTACCGTCGGAACTGGCGATGGCAAGTTGGACGAGAGACAGAAATCTTTGGCTCAGGGTCGACTATTGCGAGTACTCCCACGGCTTTCGGCCCTCGACTTTCATACCATTACCCATTCAAACTTCCCTGCTGTGGATGCAAAATACGGAATGCCGGCCGAAGAACATGGGATTCTGTACTTTGCACTGGTTGACATGGTAAACAAGGATGAGGACATGCTGATGCACGTTTACTCCATTGATGTTTTTGTCGAGTTTCTTGAAACTATGAGCGTCACTGAACTCACGCAGTCGACAATGGACTATCTTGCGCATTTGGTAAAAGCGGTTGCTTCCTCCGACAACACTCTTTACCAAACGCTTCAATCAATCGCCTCGTCCCCCAGCTCTTCACCCGAAATCGTCGACCTGCTAGTCCGATTGAATCAATATGAGCATTAGATACCAACAGCTGATCCAATCTGACAGATATTCTGGGAAATTGGGAATTGAATGCATAACACCAGTGAGATATTGAAGTGGTGAGCCATCACTAGTTTTCTAACGAATCACCTTTTACTTACTTGATTTTTGCGGTTTAATCCTTATGGGTTCAATTTGCCAAGGGGTATACTACTGGGCCATGGCTAGCTGGAACCATGAAACGGGGTTTGCCCATGATAACCTCGCTCTAATCTAGACTTATCCCGCGTGGTCTGCACGCATGCGCGCCTATGTACCATAAAGGGGAAACGTGGTACAGTACACTCAAGCGATTGCGCTCCTTGCTTGGTGTCGTTGGTAAAGACATAGCCTAGAACCCATTTCCTCAGATATCAGTGTTTTTGTTGCGGGGCATCCGTTCGAAGGGTTATTGACGAATGTTCTCGAATTGGGAAACAGCGTCGAGGCCATGCAAAGATAGTGCCTGCATTCCGAGAGGACGAATCGAAATCGATCCGCCTGTTCGGTTTGCTCTCCCATATTCGTTTTTCCTGGCAGGGGTTCTTTTCTCTCAAATTTCAAGATCTGATAGATGCCATGAGGCTTGACTGCATGGGCTGTAAAGTCAGGTCCCAACATGCCAAGCCACACCCGATCCTTGATCGTTGGCCAGATATTTGCTTTTGTATCTTCCTCCGTGCGAACACTTTGCTGCTATTTAATTCAAGCTTACTGTAGAATAATTAACGTTTTCTTTCGATGATCTACGATTTCTATCCAACATAATCCGTTTCTACCATCGGTCCTGGCTGCGGTTACGTACGATATGATTGAATGTTTGCGTATCGAAGTAGAAATTGGGACGAGCCCACAAAAGCAACAATTCATGTAGGTACCAGAGACTATCATAATGCACGGTACACGAATGTTCATGTAGTAGTAAACCACAGGTTCCAGCCACATTAATTTGTCTCTCTACCATGCCTTTCCCAATTTGGAATTGCCACACTCTTCTTATTCCCCCAGCTACCTAGCCCTTCCTAATTGAATTTCTATATAATGTATTCCCAGATAGCCTAGAGAGTTTTTTTCATCCCAATCAAGCATCACTCGTTTCTGCTTGCTCTTCATTTCACTCTTTCCCAAGGTTTCAAAGCATCACTCTTTCTGCTTAATTCCCTATCCAAAATGGTGAAATCATTGTCTTTGGTGTTGCTTCTCGGTGCCTTTGCTCTCACGGTTACTGATGCCCAGAGGATCTATCGACGTGTCTCTTCTCCGGTCGAACCAGTAACTGTTACTGAGTACGTCAGTCTAAGTCCGGTCACGGTCACAGTCACGGAATGCCCTTCCACAGGAAGTATCACTGGTAGGTGTTTTTGGTCCTCCAATTCTCAAGTAATAATTGGCTAAGATATCACTCAGCTTCTTCGGAGCCAACACCAACTTCATCGACTGAGCTCTCCAGCTCCTCACTTGAACCTACCATAACCTTCATTGACGATGTGGTCAGTGACACGATAACCTCTTCGGACATCACAAGCCCTGCCTCATCGATTGAGATCACCTCAAGCTTTACCGAGCCTGAGACAACAACTTCCTCTTTCAAGGTCACGTCCACTTCCATCGAATCTGCAAGCGAGACGCTCTCCGATTTTATCACATCTACATCGTCGGTCGAAACTTCAAGCAGTGAAACAATTACTTTGACATCGCAACCAACTGAGTCTGCAAGTGACTACGATGTGATTACATCAACGTCTTCTTTCGATACCGCCAGTGAGACAATCACCTCGACATTGCAACCAACCGAGTCTGCAAGTGACTACGACGTGATTACATCGACGTCGTCTGCTGAAAGCACAAGCGAGACGATCAGTTCAACTTCACCACCAACCGAATCTGCAACTGCGACTATATCGACATCACCGAAACATCTAGCACCAGTAAAATTTTGGAGACGAGCTCCGTGGCACCTTCTTCTAGCTCTGCATCCTCTTTGGTTGGACCAGTCGTTTCCTCCTCTTCCGTGGTCCCAACTACGATGAGCACTATTTAAACATCTTCTTCACGATTAGCCACGATTTCGACCAGCCCTACAAGTTCTGTGGCGCCTGCAAGTAAGTTGAACCACGTTTTCCCACGGTTATCTTATGCTAATTGTGTTAGACACCGCAGCCATCGTTAATGGAGATTTCAATGGCACGCCAGGCAAACCAAACAGCATTGCTCCTTGGACTGAAGTTCAGGGGTCCAACGCAAATCTGAAGGTCGTACGGGCTGCTGAAGGCGCCAATCCTGCCGCCGCCTCAGGACATGGCCCCAAGTATCTGTACGTAGCTATTCCACCATTGAACTTGAGGTATACTAACATATCACCAGTCAAGAATCAATTCAGGACAAAGAAAATGCTGCCTTCCAACAAACAGTCCTCGATATCGTCCCTAGACAGAGATACACTCTATCGTTGATGGGTAAAGTCAAAGCAGAACTCCTGGCTAAGAGGAAGCAAAATATCTGCTACATCTGGATCTGCGAGAAGAACATATGTTCAGAACAGCAAGCTTTCAGACCTGGCGAGAATTGGACTCCCGTTTCTTTCACCTTCATAGCAGGAAAGAACCAGAAGAAAGCCCCTGTCACCGTCTGGACCTTCTGCCAGGGTAACAATGCTGATCGCATCAACACCGTTTACATTGATGCCATTTCCATCAAACCCGTTCCCATCAGATTCGTTGAAAAAAGCTAAATAGGCCTTTGAAGAATTCAATACCACACAACGATGCCGTTTCCTTTGTTTTAGACTTTTCATTCAATACACGGGCTCGGACTGCGAGTATATTTACAAACTTGGCATTCTATACTGTACTTTTTACAGAAATTTGAAGATATGGAGTTGACAAGGGTGTTTAGAATACACTTATAATAGATAGAGAGGGTTTAATGTTAAACTTTATTCGTGATCGAGTTGCCTTGCTTATTATGATATCATACTTGAGTACATTGTTTTTATGCGAGGTGAACGAGCGGTAACTTCCAATAGCCAAAGAATGGATATCAATTATTTTATCGATTTTCCAAGACATCCGCTTATTTGAGCTAAGCTTCCGGCTACCAGGATTGTGCTGCCTTGGCGAGCCGATCGAGAATCGGTGGCGGAAAAGGCAAAAAAGGGGCTTCAGGTGGCCGGCTCGCTTATTTTGTCCGCTGAAAGTGACACAACTGAGGAACCCAGACCAACACCACGGGCTTAGGGCTGAGTGCTTGGCGTCGTGGAATATTAAGCAAATATTCATACTGGATAGGCAAAAAAAACTTGACGTGTACTTGGAAACCCATGCTATCGGTGAATCGTGGTCAACCTCCTGATCATACCAGTCAATTCCCTCGGGCTACGAGATTCATGGACCATAATGTCCAAGCGTGTTATCATATCATTGGTACAATTAGGAGACAAGAAATATGTATACATAGACAGTCTTCCATCCATAATAAGCTTCTTAGGCCGGATATTAGTGTTAAATTTGAGGGGAAGATTAGGTAAGATTACACTTGCATAATGGGCTAGGGTGAGTGTTTATCAAATTCTCGCCTATGTATAAATAAAATAGAAGGCTAAAAATAGTCATGAAAACTTTGCGACACTTGTCGGGCTTTTTTTCTATACACTAAACTATCTACAAAAGACTAAGTCGAAAGATATACGAGTCTGCCCTCCCTAGAAGTACCGTAAGATTTTACATATATCAAACTGTGCTATCGGCCAGTGGTTTTGCATCACCGGCACCATTCATAGTAACAACCTCAACCTCACTTATCCCCTTAATATCTCTCAAATCTCCTTCGATGACCGCGGGCTTTGACTTCCCGTCTCGCACCTCCTCAGTCGTAGCTACCAAGATGTCAAATGCCTTTCGCAGGTACTTCTCTTCGGCCTTTGGGTTCGCGCTGACGACCCTGATAACATAGCTCCCAGCGACAACACTTGAAGTGATATATATCTCCCCTCTGCTATTTACTAGCTCATAAACCTCCCTAGAAAGCGCATTTTCCTCTTTCTCTCCACCTCCAGGTGAAACGATATTAAAGACTGTCAAAGCAAAGCTGGGGCCTGCCAAAATCTTGAATAGATCGGGTCTTGACTTTACCAAAGAGGCAAAGCCTTCGCCCAGACTAACATGCTTTCGAATATGCTCCTGCAGTCCCTTTACGCCATATGTGCGTAACACGAACCAAATCTTCAGACTTCTGAACCTTCTACCGAGAGGGATTTGCCAATCGCGATAATCGGTTACCAACCCACTATCGGAAAATTCATTGCGAAGATAGCTAGGCATGATCGACAGCGCGTCAATCAAATCTTTCCGCTTCTTCACAAAGAGACAAGAAGCATCAAAATTTGTGAGCAGCCACTTGTGCATATTCATATCAAATGAATGAAAATGTTGAAATGAAGCGGTGAGATGCTGATACTCCGGGCATACCAAAGCGGCACCAGCATACGCAGCATCGACGTGGGCCCAGATCTCGCCTGGTGCATCCGGAGGGGCGTATTCCGCTAATGTTGAAGCAATTGAAGCAAAATCGTCTACTGCACATGTGGCTGTCGTGCCAAGTGTCGTGGTAATATAAAATGGTTCCAGACCCTGAACTTTGCATTGCTTTAACACTTCTTCGAGACCAGCGCCAGTCATAGACAAGCCATCCTCTTTTGAGGCTGGGATCGAACGATAGCGAACTCCGGCAATCTGGGCAGCCTTTTGCGTCGAACTATGTGCCTGGTCACTTCCCAGCGCCACCATCTTGCTCCGCTTGTGAGCGATTGCATCTTCGAGTTCCATTCCGGTGAGATGAGAAGTCGTCTCTCGAAGATATTTGTCTCGGGCAGCCACCATGGTTGTGACAATGGCCTCTGAAGCAGATCCTTGGATTACGCCACCACCATGACTGGTAGAAAGGTAGCAATCGGGGAGGTGGAGAAGTTTGGCCAGCCAGTCGAGAACCACAGTTTCGAGCTCTGTGACGGCGGGTGAACATATCCAGTTGAAGGCTGGGGCGGTGAAGGCAGAGGAGTACAGTTCACCCAACATACCGGGAAATGAAGAGGAGGCCGGGAAGAAGGCCATAAAATTTGGAGATTGCCTGTATGTGCTTAGTATATGAAAGTTGGTGGAGAGTTTGGCTTAAGTTGAGAACTGCGCACCAGTGTGTTAAACCAGGTATGATCTTAGTCTCGATATCCTTCTGAATATCTGCCCATGGTTCACCCTCTTCTGGAGGGCCGTCAGGTAGTATCTTTTTCAGATAACCTGGTTCAACATTGGAGACTACACGGCGGTCTCCAATGGTATCGTAGTAGCGAACAATCTCGTCGATTGCCGAGGTGGCGGCGTCTTTGAACTGTTGTGAGTCCATAATTGGGGGGATATTGATATCGACACCGGCACAAAATGCAGATGAGGGGTAGATGTAAGCGATGAGCAGGAAAAGGAAAGTCAGGTAGGAAGCCTGACACGCTTCTAATGCATCGAAGCAACTCTAACTTTTGACATGAAAAATGCAACTGTTGACGGGAGCGTCAGTATTTATAAATCCTACGATTGTTGGTACTATGACGGAGGGCAAACGTCAACGTTGGAGCAATCAGCACGGAATCCCTCCCGTTCCGTGGAAAAATTGCCTATCCGGGTTACGCATAGCCGATATCCGATCCGAAAAGCTTGCTTTGTCGGAAGGCTTACTCGTACTTGAATGAGTTGAGAAGAAAGTGAGTAATGCTGCGGTGTCAATTCCGTCTTCGTTTATAAGTACTTCTTGTGGAAGATTCTTTACTCGCTTATATAGAATGACTAAGAGGTTTTGAATACTAGTTAGGAAACCTAGAAGACAGTGTTGTACTTGCTACACTATGAATGCCTACAAGTTCGGTCTATTCGTCAATCATCAATCCCTCGCTTTTTGTATATATACATATTCTACAAATCCGTAGCGACAGTGAAACATATTACATTCGAGAAGCGATATCTGGAGTGTCTTTTCCTCAGATGGTAATACTTGAGGTTGATAGTGACCAAGTACGTGCGATAGGCTACGCACTCGTTTTCATAGCTTTCGGATTTAAGATAGTCCGACGGATAGGGTCCGTGCTCCGTGGCATCCATCACTCGTGGCACGGTGGCAGCCCGCCGCAGCCATGTGACGACAGACCATTCATGTCACCCCCCCGGCTTAGCGGCCTACAGTAGGTACCTAGCGACATCCATCGGCGCTGCCAGGTGAGCCAGGCTAGCCTAGGTTCTCAACTACTGTACTCGAGTAGTACACTAAATCGAGTTTCATACTCGTAACAATCAAGCCCCCACCATAACTACAAACCACCAACACTCCCAGCTTCCCGTCCTCCAGGACACACACATCATCTATCCTACGTCGACCATCTCGCAAATATGAAGTTGCACTACATCGGAGTAAGCATATTCGCGCCGCCCAACCCGCCCAGCGCTGGACTGACCGCTGATTCTGATTCTCTTGCAATAGATCATCAAGAACGAGGCAAAGCCGGCGCATGAGCTGGTCGCCGAAAAGGAATTGAGTGCCTATTCGAGGTTCACCAAAAACAAGTACGTCTTGAAAATGCCCATACCTATCCACACCTCCCGATACGAACCATCTACAAAGCGAAAGCGGGAACTGGATGAGGGGTTGGGAGTTCTGGCGGAGGAGCAGCAGCATCCCCGAGATTCTGACTGGAAGAAGAGTAGCTGATGATGGAGTTCAATTCTAGCTATGGAGAGTTCATGACAATGTTCAGCAAGACGGTGGCAGAAAGAACAAAGCCAGGCCAGAGACAGGATATTGAAGAGCAAGGTGCGCCTCTCAGACTCCCATGTATTGAGATGATCCCGAAAGCTGACCTCAAAAAGACTACACGTTCCATGCCTACGGCCGTACCGAAGGAGTGTGCGGTATCATCATCTCAGACCATGCTTACCCATCCATGGTCGCCCATCAACTCCTCTCCAAAGTCGTCGACGAATTCCTCACCTCTCATCCCCGTTCAGAATGGGCCAATTCCACGCCTACTCTCGCATTTCCCGAACTCAAGGAATACATTGTGAAGTATCAGGATCCCCAACAAGCCGATAGCATTATGAAGATCCAGAAAGAGTTAGACGATACCAAGATTGTTTTGCACAAGACGATTGAGAGTGTGTTACAGAGAGGAGAGAAGATTGACGATTTGGTGGCGAAGAGCGATGGATTAAGTGCTCAGAGCAAGATGTTTTATAGTGAGTTTACTTCAACTTGTGGTGTTTCGAGCACCGCTTTCAAATCACAACTAACATCCAACTAGCCCAGGCAAAGAAGCAAAACTCCTGCTGCGTTGTTATGTAGATGGGCAGTGGTTGTTGGCATGGTGTTGAATTTGGGCACATACGGCGTTTTCGATAATTTGAGATTCGGTTGCTTCGTAGTCTTTTAGCAGCGCAGAGATTGTAAATGAAATCACGAGACCAATGGGAAGGTATGCAGCATTGATGGTGAACACATGTAAAAATTCCTTTGGAGAATATCGTGTAGGCAGATCTACCATTTCCAGCACAACTCCGATCTCGTATCATATTGTAACACCCTCCGAACTCCAAACTCCATTTCCAGTCGTTATACAGCCCAAGAAATAGGACCCAAGCTTTCAAACTTTCAAGCTCCAGATAGGGGTATCCATATCAACAAATCCAACATCAGCAACATTTCTTCTGCGTTTTCACCTCAGGTTGTCCATTCTGAGGTCCTGCGTCGATGTATGCTTCCACAGGCACTCCGAACCAACTTCTTCTATCTTTTCCTACCCTAAAGCTTCCACCGGGTCTGTCAAAATAGCCTCCACTGCCTTCTCCGGGTCCACCTTCCATTGGGGTGCCGCCGCCTGGTGTCTGTGTAGCACTGAGCAGCTGCTGGCTCATAATCCGGTTCTGTTCGACCAATTTCCTCGTAATAACCCGGAAAACCTCATCCACACCCTCGCCGCTCTCAGCACTTACTTCATGACAGCAGTCCCATCCCACCTCTTGTCCCCAAAAACCACTACTTCGCTTAGAACTAGGACTCCTAGCCCCATCTAACGGATCTCGAGCCGCCACAGCATTGAAAAATGGTCTATACCCTCCTGCTCTGCCACCATATTCCCCATCTAATATTCCCGCACCTGTGCCCATACCACCTGGTGTTGCAGTAGCCGGGGGCGTCGACGACTTGCCGGAGGCGAGATGCTCGGCAACGTATGCGATGCACCGTTCGAAGGGAACTGCGCGAGAAGAAGGGTCTTGAGCGACAAGATCGGCCTTCGTGCCTACAACGTGGAGGATGATATCTGGAGGGAGGTTGCGGCGTAGCTCCGTGAGCCAAACACCCATCTCATCGAACGAAGGTTTGTCGGTGATGCTGTAGCAAAGAATGCAGGCATTGGCTCCGCGGTAATAAAGCCGTGATATTGAGCTGCAATAGTAGATTTGTTGGCTGGGAATGATCGCAAAGGAAATTCAGGTCGAGTGAGGGTAATACATACCGGAAGCGTTCCTGTCCCGCGGTATCCCATATCTGCAGTCGGACAACCGTGTCACTCTCGTCATCCACCACCCTCTTGGTCAGGAAGCTTGCTCCCACGGTCGATGTGGTCGTGGCGGGCGAGAACTGGTTCTTGATATACCGCACCAACAAACTAGTCTTCCCGACGCCTTGAGCGCCGAGGACGACGATCTTAGCCTCCAGCGACTGCGCCATTCCGTCTAGTCGGTCGAGGTCTCTTTTCTCCTCGTCTCCTCTCTTCAGCCAAGTAGATATGCCTGAGTTCCTCTCGAGGCGAGGTGTCAGTCGATTCTAGATAAGAGAAGAGGAGCGGGTTGTGGGGGGGTGAGGGGAGATGGAAATGGAGCGGGTGAAACAAGACAAGGCAAGTTCGGGAGGAGAAGACAATTCAGGTTCACGTTCAGCTCTCACTTCCCCCTTTTTCTTCCACGAGGCTTTTTCTCTCTGATGGCTCCCTCGACCGGTTGTTTGTTCCCTCAACTCGCTTGTTTGCTTGTTCTCTTGGTCCCTCTGTCTTTGCCTTCCTTAGGTGGTGAACTGCTGCTGGTTGTCTCACGCCTATCTTACGCCATCACACTGCATTATAAGCAGGTCTTCCCTCTGAAAACACGCACCAGTTGAATGGCATTCGCTGGTCGAGGAGGACAGGTTCCTATGGATGTTCTCGACGAAAGCAATCGGATATCTTGGTGACACTGGTTTTGAGGTTCGTGATAGGTGATTCGGTAAGTCGTCGGTGCGTACCAAAAATGACGTGCGAGTATACGTAAATATTCCCGGCCGACGAGGCTATGTTTAGCACGTAGCTATCTAGAAACCACGAATACTTCTATCTATATATTCCAATATGCTTAATTTAAGACAATCTTAATAGCCTAAACGCTATTTAATTGAACGGCAATTAACGGAACTACCCCCTAATTAATAAAAAACTACTAAAATACCTCTTATAAGTAAATAATTATTTACTAATTAAAGCTAGTAAAAGTCGAAATCTTAGCCTATCCGAGGCGCTAGCTATAAACCTAGAATTAAGTATTTATAATATAATTCTAGAACCGATTAAGATACTCTTATATTCTTAGTAGAAGTTATAGTAGTTATAGGTTAATTTTACTTATTTATATATAATATAAAGTTTTTATATAAACTACTAACGTACTTCATAAGGAGTCCGGATTTATAAGCAGTCCGGATTTTTTACCCCACCATTGACCACCCTACACACTTTCAATCTACATAACTTACCCAATTATTGTTCAAATGTCTCGAAAAGAAGGTCGAATTGCTCTTGCAATGAGTGCATACAATAAGGGTCAATTTACAAGCTTAAAAGCAGCTTGTACAAGGTACGATGCGCCATATTCTACTACTTACGACCGCGTCAAGGGAGCTA